TTTCTATCATAAAGTCTAATACAAAGTCTGTCGCAAAGTCTGTCACAAAGTCTGTCACAAAGTCTGTCACAAAGTCTGTCACAAAGTCTGTCACAAAGTCTGTCACAATGTCTGTCACAATGCCTGTCACAAAGTTTGTGAAATGTTCAGCTGTTTGCCTCCCTATGAAGATATCTATGACTGAAATGTTCATTTTTTCTCTGATCATGTAATCTAGCTGGTTTATTTAAAATTTATAAGCTATGTTGGGAAATAAAATCGATACCGTTTAATTAACTCGCTACTGCACTAAAAAAATATTCGGGTTTCATGATATTGTATAGTCTAGATAACTTTGTCAACGCCCCACCTTACTTTTTCAATGTACCACATTATTTTGTCAATATCTCACCTCACTTTGTTAACATACCACGTTACTTTGCCAATGCCTATAATGATTATCCCATGCCCCATACAAATGTTTATATTTTCCCACTTGACTCAATGCCCGACATGACTTTGTACTGGGCTTAAACTGACGTTGTCCCATTATTCTGATACTGCTCCACACGACTTCGATACTGCTCCACACGACTTCGATACTGCTCCACACGACTTCGATACTGCCCCACATGAACTCGATACTGCTCCACATGACCTCGATACTGCCCCACATGACTTCAATCCTGCACTACACATCGATACTGCTCAACACGACTTCGATACTGCTCCACAAGACTTCGATACTGCTCCACACGACCTCGATACTGCTCCACATGACCTCAATACTGCTCCACATGACTTCGATACTGCTCCACACGACTTCGATACTGCTCCACATGACTTCGATACTGCTCCACACGACATCGATACTGCTCCACATAACTTCGATACTGCTCCACACGACTTCGATCTGCTCCACGTTGCCACGATACTGCCCTCCATGACTTTGGTAATGCCCTAAATGACTTCGATAATAGCCCACAGGACTTTGATATTACCTCCAGAATAACTTGACACACACATCTTTACACGATACAAGAGCGGAAACAACAACGTGTTAAAAATGTATTAAAAAAACGTTTTAATAACAAGCTTTTATGTACAAATGCACTAAAAAGGAGAAAAAAATAAATGTTTAAAAAAATATATATATATAATACACTATTTAAATAATTATTAAGAAAAGCATGGGTCACTATATTATATATTGGATACTAATTTCAGCATTTTCGTTACTAATTCATAAATAAACCGGGAGTGATCTCCCTAAACTTTCTCGAATATTCTTATATAAAATAACAGGGGATGGAAACTCGGGCTATAGACATGATTTTTAATCCATTTTAAATACTTAAAGCTTTACAAATAGAATAAAATCTCGTAGACAAATTAATTGCACACCAAGTGAACGCCAAATAAAAAAGCGCATAATAGTGCGCAATATTATTAGTACTTTTAAAATTTACATTAGTTTTTTGAGAAATCGGAAGTAGCGTAAAGTACTACTTCCAGTCAACGGAAATTACTCCAAATTTAACAGAAGATAGAGAATTAGATTTTTTACTTACATGTGAAATTTCATTTATCTATCTGAAATAGTACTCAAGTTATAGGCTTTTGAAAAATTCAAAGTAGGAAAAGTACCACTTCCGGTTATCGGAAATCGCTCAAAAGTTCATACGGATCTACGATTTTGATAAAATACTTATATATGAAATTTCATCAACCTAGCTATAACGGCACTCAAGTTATCGTGTTTACACACGGACAGACAGACAGACAGACAGACAGACAGACAGACAGACACACAGACATACGGACAAGATTGCAAAATTATGTTTTTCCGTATCAGTGAGGTGTAAAACGTCGAGATTTGTAAAAATCTCGATTTTTTTTTTGTGCACCATTACAAGACTTTCTTTATACTTCGTATATACGAGAAAGTAAAAATTAGGCATTCAATTAAGTAAAATTTAATCTCATTTGCATTTTCTTCAAGTCTTGACCCACGTGCCGAATTTCGGATGAATTAGTCGGTCAGAAGTGCAAGAAATTTTGCTCTTTCGTTTCGATCTAAGACGACAGACTGATTGACGACAGATAGACTGACGACGGTCAGAGGAATTAAGTTAAAATAAAAGCTTGTGAAAATAAAAGTACCTATATACAAGTTGTCATGCCGCCATTATATCACATTAAACCTGCTACATGTGACTTGGTCGTCACGCCGCCATTATATCACATTAAACCTGCTACAAGCATGCGACTGGGGGTCGTCACGCCGCCACTATATCACATTAAACCTGCCACAAGCATGGAGTTGTTAAATGACGACACCCGTCAATAGAGTTCTCCTCCCCTTGTTCCGCTTGAGTGACGCTGCTGTGCACTGTACACAAGCAACGATGTGTGACACGAACAGATTTTGTCACGAATTTAACGGTGTCCCACGTGACTTCCGAGTTGTGTAACCCCCCCCCCCCCCCACACACACCCACTTTTCTCCCATCACTTAAGACTATTGATAACGGAGATTACTAGAAACTGAAGCCCTTTGAGTTTAAGGATTTGACTGTAAATTCAGATGGTGCAGTAGAGTTTTATATGTGTCTAGTAGCTTGACCAGCCGCTCTGTAATGACGCATTAAATAGGATGGACCAGTCCAATTACAAAGGTCGGGGTTAGCAGGGTGGGTCAGTTCAAGTAGAAAGGTCGGAACCTAACTAGAAAAAAAACCAGTTCAAACTTTTTTCTTGTTTCAATTATTTTTGACTACACTTGGTCAGCTTTTTGTGTCCCTGAGACTGTCTCACCTCCTGTCAATGAGACTGTCTCACCTCTTGTCCCTGAGACTGTCTCACCTCCTGTGTCACTGAGACTGTCTCACCTCCTGTGTCACTGAGACTGTCTCACCTCCTGTGTCCCTGAGACTGTCTCACCTCCTGAGTCCCTGGGACTGTCTCACCTCCTGTCCCTGAGACTGTCTCACCTCTTGTCCCTGAGACTGTCTCACCTCCTGTGTCACTGAGACTGTCTCACCTCCTGTGTCCCTGAGACTGTCTCACCTCCTGAGTCCCTGGGACTGTCTCACCTCCTGTCCCTTAGACTGTCTCACCTCCTGTGTCCCTGAGACTGTCTCACCTCCTGTCTCTGAGACTGTCTCACCTCCTGTCCCTGAGACTGTCTCACCTCCTGAGACTGTCTCACCTCCTGTCCCTGAGACTGTCTCACCTCCTGTGTCCCTGAGACTGTCTCACCTCCTGTCCCTGAGACTGTCTCACCTCCTGTGTCCCTGAGACTGTCTCTCCTCCTGTCCCTGGCACTGTCTCACCTCCTGTCCCTGAGACTGTCTCACCTCCTGTCCCTGAGACTGTCTCACCTCCTGTGTCCCTGAGACTGTCTCTCCTCCTGTCCCTGGCACTGTCTCACCTCCTGTCCCTGAGACTGTCTCACCTCCTGTCCCTGAGACTGTCTCACCTCCTGAGACTGTCTCACCTCCTGTCCCTGGCACTGTCTCACCTCCTGTCCCTGGCACTGTCTCACCTCCTGTCCCTGAGACTGTCTCACCTCCTGAGACTGTCTCTCCTCCTGTCCCTGGCACTGTCTCACCTCCTGTCCCTGAGACTGTCTCACCTCCTGTCCCTGGCACTGTCTCACCTCCTGTCCCTGAGACTGTCTCACCTCCTGTGTCCCTGAGACTGTCTCACCTCCTGTCCCTGAGACTGTCTCACCTCCTGTGTCCCTGAGACTGTCTCTCCTCCTGTCCCTGGCACTGTCTCACCTCCTGTCCCTGAGACTGTCTCACCTCCTGTCCCTGGCACTGTCTCACCTCCTGTCCCTGAGACTGTCTCTCCTCCTGTCCCTGGCACTGTCTCACCTCCTGTCCCTGAGACTGTCTCTCCTCCTGTCCCTGGCACTGTCTCACCTCCTGTCCCTGAGACTGTCTCACCTCCTGTCCCTGAGACTGTCTCACCTCCTGTCCCTGGCACTGTCTCACCTCCTGTCCCTGAGACTGTCTCACCTCCTGTCCCTGAGACTGTCTCACCTCCTGTCCCTGGCACTGTCTCACCTCCTGTCCCTGAGACTGTCTCACCTCCTGTGTCCCTGAGACTGTCTCACCTCCTGTCCCTGGCACTGTCTCACCTCCTGTCCCTGAGACTGTCTCACCTCCTGTCCCTGAGACTGTCTCACCCCCTGTGTTCCTGTGTCTCACCTCCTGTGTCCCTGAGACTGTCTCACCTCCTGTGTCCCTGAGACTGTCTCACCTCCTGTGGTCTGGATATGAGTGATCAGACAGGAACTGTTCAGCTTGAAACATTTTTCTTGTGGTCACAGGGGAGAGAACAGCTTGCGTATCAGGAACAGCAACTCCATTTGTCTTCATTACCTCCATTTTCATTCATACAACTTTTTCCCATAGGCAATGTACATTACACTAATGTAAATGTACTATTAAATCATAAGTTAATGTACAACATTAAAAAAAATCGTCGGAAAGTATTACAAAAAATTCCTCGTGTGGATGTATCACAAAAAAACTGTGTGAATGTATTGGAAAAGTCAGTGTGAATATATTCCAACAGCCGCCATCTTTGATCACTCAATAGAATCTGACTTCTTGTGTTACCACAATCGTTGTCTATTTAAATGATCCATTACCCAAAGTAATCTAACTCGTTTTACGATCACCCCCGCGCTACACCACTAATGTACTACACAGAACAAAAATAAACGTTTAGATCAGTTGCGTTTTTCGAGGTATCACCTTTGACACGTATCTGACCGAATGTAGAGCAGTGTTCTATTTATAGAAGTCATCACGTCACGATGATTTGGGCTGCCTTGAAGGAAACAGAAAATGAAGACACGATCCGCCAGCTATCTTGTAGAAATCAGGTTACTTTTTAATGATGTAGGCTGCGGATCTGTCACTGCTCCTAACATGGACCTGGTGGTTGTAATCATGTCTTGAAAGTTGGCGTCTGCTCATTGACTTTATTCTGTTGTTTGCCTGCAGATTCAAGAATGCAAGAGGTGACCCTCAGGGACGGTTAAGCTGACCACGTGACTCCAAGTTAGGGTCAGGCTGATCACGTGACACAGAGTTAAGCTGACCACGACTGAGATTAGAACCTACATCACGTCCTCCGTCATACAGTATTAGAGGTGAGTCTTTTATTTATATACACAGGGCGAATTTAAGACCGGGCCCACATTGTGGTCCTAGCCGTAGCTAAAATTGTGGTCCTAGCCATAGCCCACATCGTGGTCCTAGCCCTAGCCGACATTGTGGTCCTATGTGGTTTAGCCTAGTCCACAACGCAATTCAATATATATATATATATATATATATATATATATATATATATATATATATATATATATATATATATATATATATATATATATATATATATATATATATATATATATGTGTGTGTGTGTGTGTGTGTGGCTATATCGAGCTTGAAACATCATCCGTGATGTCTCATTTACTCCCATTACCCATGAGTTTTGTGAAGAAGATACCACTACACCTGGATAAATATGCAAATATCAAGTCTTAACACAAACTAGGCCAGAGTGTGAGTGGGAGGGTGTTTGAACAGGGGGAAGGTGACATCAGGCCCGTAAACTAACGTACGCTAGTAACAGTGTGGCATCGGTCCCTTGAATCAACTTATGCTAACAGACAACATCTTATATGTTGCCAGCATCAATGTATCGATTCTAAAAGTAGCAGATTAAAAACAAACCGAACAGCTGAGTGAAGTGGATCCCTTGTTTTACCAGCTCAAGTTTTTTGTTGCCAGTTAAGAACCCCAACAGAGCTTCAATCATCTTTTATTTCGGTTGTAAAATGCTAAACAGCTGGTAAACATAAACGTGTGTGGGAACTGGGTCTCTGGTGGTCATTCTATTGTCATATGTCATTAGTGCCGTCATGTGAATATGTGCCATCATATGACATATGTCATAATATGACACTAGTGCCGTTATATCACACTGATCAGTGCCGTTATATTATATGTGTACCGTCATATGACACTAGTGTTGTCATATGACACTAACCAGTGCTGTTATATGCTAATTACTGACATGAAATCACACTGCCATCGAAGCTAACTAGCCTGTAAACAAACTTGCCGTCTATTATCTTAGCTTTGACTTTGTATGATTCTTTAATGAAGTTCAAAATGAGTTTTTTATTTTTTAAACTACGACATTTGTGCTGGGCACCTCATATAGCAGACACTGGTAGCTGGGCACCTCAAATAGCAGACACTAGTAGCTGGGCACCTCAAATAGCAGACACTAGTAGCTGGGCACCTCAAATAGCAGACACTAGTAGCTGGGCACCTCAAATAGCAGACACTAGTAGCTGGGCACCTCAAATAGCAGACACTGGTAGCTGGGCACCTCAAATAGCAGACACTAGTAGCTGGGCACCTCAAATAGCAGACACTAGTAGCTGGGCACCTCAAATAGCAGACACTAGTAGCTGGGCACCTCAAATAGCTGGGCACCTCATATAGCTGGGCACCTCATATAGCTGGGCACCTCATATAGCTGGGCACCTCATATAGCAGACACTAGTAGCTGGGCACCTCAAATAGCAGACACTAGTAGCTGGGCACCTCATATAGCTGGGCACCTCATATAGCTGGGCACCTCATATAGCTGGGCACTTCATATAGCAGACACTAGTAGCTGGGCACCTCATATAGCAGACACTAGTAGCTGGGCACCTCATATATCAGACACTAGTAGCTGGGCACCTCATATATCAGACACTAGTAGCTGGGCACCTCATATAGCAGACACTAGTAGCTGGGCACCTAATATAGCAGACACTAGTAGCTGGGCACCTCATATAGCTGACTCTAGTAGCTGGGCACCTCATATATCAGACACTAGTAGCTGGGCACCTCAAATAGCAGACACTAGTAGCTGGGCACCTCATATAGCAGACACTAGTAGCTGGGCACCTCATATATCAGACACTAGTAGCTGGGCACCTCATATAGCAGACACTGGTAGCTGGGCACCTCAAATAGCAGACACTAGTAGCTGGGCACCTTATATAGCTGACTCTAGTAGCTGGGCACCTCATATAGCTGACACTAGTAGCTGGGCACCTCATATAGCTGGGCACCTCATATAGCAGACACTAGTAGCTGGGCACCTCATATAGCTGGGCACCTCATATAGCAGACACTAGTAGCTGGGCACCTCATATAGCTGGGCACCTCATATAGCAGACACTAGTAGCTGGGCACCTCATATAGCAGACACTAGTAGCTGGGCACCTCATATAGCAGACACTAGTAGCTGGGCACCTCATATAGCTGGGCACCTCATATAGCAGACACTAGTAGCTGGGCACCTCATATAGCTGGGCACCTCATATAGCAGACACTAGTAGCTGGGCACCTCATATAGCAGACACTAGTAGCTGGGCACCTCATATAGCTGGGCACATCATATAGCTGGGCACCTCATATAGCTGGTCACCTCATATAGCAGACACTAGTAGCTGGGCACCTCATATAGCTGGGCACATCATATAGCTGGGCACCTCATATAGCTGGGCACCTCATATAGCAGACACTAGTAGCTGGGCACCTCATATAGCTGGGCACCTCATAAAGCTGGGCACCTCATATAGCTGGGCACCTCATATAGCTGGGCACCTCATATAGCAGACACTAGTAGCTGGGCACCTCATATAGCTGGGCACCTCATATAGCAGACACTAGTAGCTGGGCACCTCATATAGCAGACACTAGTAGCTGGGCACCTCATATAGCTGGGCACCTCATATAGCAGACATTAGTAGCTGGGCACCTCATATAGCAGACACTAGTAGCTGGGCACCTCATATAGCTGGGCACCTCATATAGCAGACACTAGTAGCTGGGCACCTCATATAGCAGACACTAGTAGCTGGGCACCTCATATAGCAGACACTAGTAGCTGGGCACCTCATATAGCAGACACTAGTAGCTGGGCAACTCATATAGCTGGGCACCTCATATAGCAGACACTAGTAGCTGGGCACCTCATATAGCAGACACTAGTAGCTGGGCACCTCATATAGCAGACACTAGTAGCTGGGCACCTCATATAGCTGGGCACCTCATATAGCTGGGCACCTCATATAGCTGGGCACATCATATAGCAGGCAACAAAATTCAGGTTTTTGTTAATTTTACATGTAGCAGACATCAAGTCATTATAAAAATGCCGCATTTAGCCGAAAAAAAATCAATGATTATTTAAATGCCACATTTGGCCAACATTACCCATAGTTTTTTGAACGTCACATTTGGCAGAAAAAAAAATCAAGTTATTATTTTAATGCCACATCTACAAGAATTAAAAAATTTTTTTTCACCATCTCCCTATATATTAAACACCGTCTACTTGAATCTTTACGCTGCCCACTAGTATATTAATACCATCGTTTTCTTTGATACATCCTCCTGCAGTACCAATGAGAAGTAACATTCTCGCGTCAAATATGCTTTATTTGAATAACAAAAACTAGAAAGACGGACTTGATTCCAGATAATTAGTATTAGCATATTCAACTTTTTTTTTAAAAGAGCGCCTGCCATTTATTTAAATCTCTTACGTCATACGTAGTTGACGTCATAAAAATTACTATTCATTGTCTATAGAGTGCTGGGGTTGACGCAACCTGTTTCACTCAACCCCCCCCCCCTCCACTCCTTTCCCACAACCTCTTAATAAATGAAGCCAATAACTCTCTTGTACATAGCACCACAGTAGCACCACACTAGGGTGCTTGTGACCTAACTAAGCACTGATTATGGTGTTTGTGACCTAACTAAGCACTGGTTGTGGTGTTTGTGACCTAACTAAGCACTGATTATGGTGTTTGTGACCTAACTAAGCACTAATTATGGTGTTTGTGACCTAACTAAGCACTGATTATGGTGTTTGTGACCTAACTAAGCACTGATTATAGTGTTTGACCTAACTAAGCACTGATTATGGTGTTTGTGACCTAACTAAGCACTGATTATGTATGCGACAAGTTCTAGACTAAAACAAATTTGACAAGAAACAATTTATTGCTATTTTATCTCACGCACTGGTTAAATATCTTCGTTGACAAATTTGACTGAATAAAATTTGCATAATATTAACGACCGTATTTTAATTGACCCAAATCTACCGTTTATTAGGGTGGGTGATAGATTCATAAAACGTAATGTAAATATATATTATGTAAATACATAAAATGTAAATAATGTTATACTTCATTTTTTTTCTCTCTTCAAGTTTTCCCCCTCTAGGATATAACTGTAATAATGGAGATATTGCTTTAGAGCAGGGGTCGGCAACCTGCGGCTCGCGAGCCGCATACGGCTCTTTTGATATCAAGATGCGGCTCTCCAGCTCCTTGCACAAATACTAATAATCTTAATAAAAAAATAAAATATTTGAAACGAGCCGGCCCGCGGCATAACATACGCCGCTATTTAGTTGTTTCTAATTTTCAATAATTCATAATTTGTGAATTCGACAGTACCAACGCTGACACTGAAAATATTTCTTTAAAACACTATAAGTAGCTCGTTAAGGACCATAACCCCCCCCCCTTCCTTCCCTCCCCCTCCTCCTCCCCCCCCCCTACGTTTAAAATCGTTGGCTCTGCTTGTAAACATTTAGAGTGAACACAGCTCACTAAAACCATGTAGGGGTGGGGAGGTAGGGAGAGCGTTTGCAGCTTGTTTTCTAACGGCTCGAAGAAGAGAATTATATATATAGATTAAAAAAAATGTTAGTGGCTCTTTAAAACCAGAGAAATTCTGAAAATTGTAACTTTTGGCTCTTCCGCTTCAAAAGGTTGCCGACCCCTGCTTTAGGGGATATTACCGGAGACATTTTACAATTTCTTCTGTTCCAGTAAGACACACAAAAGTATACGAATGCAATTGCACGTGCACATGCACTTACTCATAAACATATTTGATTATCCATAAATAATATGCATATATGTATGTGTGTGTGTAGTATGAAAAATATACATATTGCTATATGTGTACTCACATACCTACAGACACATGCCTGCAGTTTGACTAGTTCAGCATTTAATAGCTTACAGTTGACATTTTCCAATCAATCAATAAATG